CTGATAACAATTACTCACTATTGAATCATAAGAATCTTATCCCCATCTCCTTTCACCAGACCTGTCTAGACAAGATGAAAACTATTCAGTGGGGATTCTACCTTCCCCTGCACCCTCCTAAAATTCCTTTTGAAAGCTTGTAAGTCAGCCATTTTGTGCCTTTATAACCACCTCTCCCCCTCTCCCCTTTTAGGTAGCCAGTGTCTGAGTTGCCCATCCCTATCAACCCTGTGTGCTGAGGGAATAGGCTTGATCCTTGATATAAAGACTCCTTCCCTCTTAGTTGGTATTTTGAGCTACTACATCTGTAAGTATAGGTCAAGTTCATCAAATTATAGCAATTTACACTTGCTTCCTGCATTAAATTTTTTCATCTTCCTCTAGTTGAGTTCTGATCATCAAGCTTTCGAAGCTAGGTCAAAGAGGTACTATCTGCAAGTTTGGTCATTCTTGCACACCTCCCCCCACTTCATATCAGCTGGATGCTTCACTCTCAGCTCTAGCCCCCAGTGACTAAGTCAGTGTCCATGGGCTTAGGTGTTCCCAAATCTCCCTAGCCTTCGAACCAACCAGCCCTTCTTTTTTTCTCTCATCTCAGGGTCAACCAGCGTCTATGGAACATGGTCAAACTCAGCCTTCGTCTTCATTATTGCCTTTCCCCCACTTGCAGTCGCAAGTAGATCAGTGTGGTCACCAGTGAACTTACAAGTCTGCTTGTGCATTCCCTTTGACTTTCAGTCTTGGAATGGGGCTTGTCCTGAAGGGCCTTGATGGCTCCCAGGAGAACAGCTTGCTTGTTCTTGTAATAGCCAAACAGTCTGCTTTATTTTTCTTGCTGATCTTTGTTTCAAGAAGTATCTTCTGAATGAAAGGTAATAGGGCTAGGTCCCTGTGGTACAATGGTGAATAATTGTTATCAGGACTGACTGCGAGGATTGGGAATGTAAAGGTGGACAATTTGTAGCAAAAGGAGGGGAGTGATTGATTGTGCATCCAGGAGCTGAGGTTCCTGGAACCATCAAGGGAGAAGATAGGAGTGCGGGACCCTACCCAGAGAAACAGTGATGCCAGAGATGGAGGCAGAGATGATAATGTGGAGAGATGGGGTGGCTGGGAACTCTAGACCCAGAGAGGGAGAGGGACTGTGTGCTGATGACCACAGGTTGGTTGATGATGCATGGAGGGGATTGTAACCCTGGCAATGAAGTGATATGCGACAGGATGAAGTTAAACTAATGTTCTCCCATGTAAACTATCATATAATTCTCAATAAAACATTAAAAAAAAAAAAAGTATCTTCTGTTTCTCTAGTCACTCTGGGTTGGTCTGCATGTCCTTTCAAGTAGGAATGTCCCACTTCAGAAGGTACTAGATGGAGCTTAGGATTCCACCTTAGGCCCATACTCTACAAAGGCTCCACAAGAAACTATTTCACTTGGCAAGTTCTAGAACCCTTTTTAGGTATTCCAGTCAGTGATAGACTGAAGATGGTCATGTTCTGGCTCTTGATTCTGCTGTTGCTCTTCTGCCACTCTCAGGTGTCACAGCTTTATGTTCTTGGGTGGAAGAGTTTCAATGCAAAGCGATCTCTAGGTCTAAAGGTCTCACTCCACTCCTGTCCTGTCTTTGATGTTAGTGAGATCTCCCATTCCTGTTTCTGAGCTGGCTCATTTTACACCCAGGTTAGAATTCCTAGTTTTATAGTTTAATCTGTTAGCAGTTACTCACAACTGAGTCATATAATCTATCAGTATCTTTCCTAGGCTCTTCTTACCCAGAGCCAACAGGGCAAACTTTGTCTGGTGGGATTTACAAAGATCATGGCTACAAGAGACATTAAATAATTCACTACACCACAGTGGACCCAGACCAACATGTGATCAGGTGGTCAAATAACCAGAACAAATCTTGTAAACTTTTAAAACATGCAATTATGTACAAATCCCAATCATAGTCATTTCTCTGATTCGATAATCCCACTTATGGCAGTGATGAATTGACCTGCTACCAATCTTAATTTTTTGATGATTTCCTTTATTTTTCATCATATATAATTAGGTTCCATGTTGTGAATCAGTGGAATCCATTTTGACCTCATGCTCATGGTTTTCCCCATCCAGATGATAGCTTTTGTTTTGTCTTTGTCTTGTTTGAGAATTGATAAAAGGGTTCCTATAAAGTGTGGATGTTTACAGCTGATTGTCTTCATTTTGAGTTGTGCC